AAGCAAAGCAGAGAAGCTGTAACCCCTCCATCAAACATCCCTAGGGCTTGCATCTTCAGCACCACCACTATTCAAACACTTGGTATCAAAGCTAGCTCTTTCATTTCCTCCTTCCCCTGTCTGCACAATCCGTCAGCCTGCCCACCTCACAACACCCCCTGGCCAGGTATCCTTCCAGAAGCCTGTTCCTCTGCATACTCCTGCTGACACAGAAGAGGTCTCCTCCCTCCTCCACACTGACTTGTTCATAATTTTCAGTCCCTATGCAGCTCCACCCTCTCTTCCTCCTACACCAGGTCTTATGAGCTCTGCTCCACCCAGGCTCCTTCCAACCTCTCCCTTTTGCCTTCCCATACTCCAAACCTGAGCACTCCTCTGAAAGCACACCAAGAGCCTCTGGATCCCTGCTGATCATGCTCTGCTCCTGGGCTGTGACTGGCTCTGACACCTCCAAACCCCTCCTCCGAATTCCAGACTGCGTTCATTCCTTTCTGGTGAGACCTGCACCTCTGAAGTGCTCACGGAGAGTGAACTAAATGAGTCAGGTGGTTTTTGTAGCTCTAATGTAATGATTTAGTAGGCTGTATCCTTGAAACCTATACCCTAGCTGAAGGACCTGCTATTTTTCCTGCCACTGAAGCATGCTACACACTCACAGTCCAGCAGAAATCACTTTATGCAAACCAGGTATAGCAGAAATCAGCACAGAGCAAGGCATTTCCTCCTCTGGAATTCAGACACGCTCATGAAGAGCACGGGGAACTTATCAAACTGAATTTATCACTTTCCATTAAACCATGTTGTATCACCCTGGCAGCAAATCCCTGCAACAAGGCAGCAGATGCTCGTAACACAGATTTAATCTATCACTTCAAACAACCAGAGTGTGGCCACCATAATGAAAAATTTGGACTCAAAACAGGCAAGATTCCACATGGGACAACTGAAAAAAAATGCAAGAGCAGACAGAAGAGTATACAGCACTCCAAGACGGAGAGAAACAATCATTCACTTCTACAGTTTGGAGTAGAGAGTTCAGGAAAGCGCAGTGTTGTCATTCAGAAATGCCAGGAGGCAGGCAGATCATCTAACCAGATCAAGAGCAAAGCAGCAGCAGGAAGGGGACATGGGAAGTTCTGGTACAGAAGAAAATGGTGCCACAGAAAGAACAAGAGATTGCCAGTGTTTCTGGACAAGACAAATAAAGGCATATCAGACAGAGGTGGCTTGGTAGTAGGCGCTAGGTCAAAAAAAACCACACAAGAGGAGTCAGGTAAATTCAAACGTTTTCAAAAGAAGTTGTTTGCTAACGGTAAAACAAGATGACCTTTCCAAAAGCCAGCCATCCCTCCATTCTTTTGCTTCAAAAATCACCTTCATGTGGAAGCCTTCCCCAGAAGTCCCACTTGAGCCCTTAAAAACAAACTTGCTCTGGTCAAACTTGCTACCAGAGACTATATATACTCTCTCATTCAGTGCTTCTAACTGATCTCCTCCCCTACCCCTACACACACATCTCAGTAGTCCTTTAAAGTCCTCCCTCAAGGAACGGTGTACACAGACCTATTCTGTGAAACAAACGCACTTCCCTTTCCCCCCCATCTTCCTTCGTGGCACGCACAAATCCTCCCAGTCTGTCTCACACACAAAAGGCATGTTTCCATTAAGGGCTCTTCAACTGTAAACCATCCTCCCCACCGCAGACAAAGATCTCTCCTATTGCCCTCCCTCATGGAAAATACGTGCCCAAATTGAGTATTGCTCTCCTCAATTTCCCTGGTGGAAGGGCAAGTTATTTTCAAGTCTCATCCCATAGCCACCTTGTGTAACATGCAGATTCTTACTCCTACGTTAGGTATCTGTCCCTACCCACATGGCTCCCAACAGTAATATCCTTAAATAAAGCTACTTAAATAAAATCACTTAAAGTGATTTGTGTGCCTGGGACTGAAAAGTGCACCTCTTCACTTCTATTAGCACAAACCATCATGTCACATACTGGGTCAAACCTCAGGTGGATCTAACCTTGCATCCTTGTTCCACCAAACTCCAGAGCTCCTTATCAACTGTCTCCGGCACCAGCTGGAGGAAACTTGGTGGGGGGCTGGAAAGGGGAAAGACTGTGGGGCCTGCTTCTGCTCACTCTTTCTGACACGCCTGCATCTCCAGCCAGCATCCACCAGCTCCTTAGCTTTTTTCAGGAGCAGTTAGCACTGGGGGGTGCTTTTCTTGTTTCCCCTCCTGTTCCCCAGCTTGGTTGTGAGGAAGAAGGCATTTATGTTTTGCTAGGGGTGGGCTGCTACCCATCACAACTGGAGAAAACCCATAGCAGCTGCAGACAGTACTCGATACGCAAGAGTGGGAGTACAGCAAGCCCAAAACAACACTTCCTCTAAGTTTCTCCTGGGATATGCAGCACAAGCAAGATAGTGTCTTTGCATATACTCATTTTTGGTTGTTTTCCATCAACTAGTCCTTTGAACTTTGAGCATCCATTATGTCCTATGGCAAGTAGTTCCACACTTCAGCTTAACTATATTTTGCATGAAAAATTATTTCATTTATTCTGCACTGAGCCATTTTTGGTTTCACTTAATGCCCTCCAGTCCTCGTGCAGGAAGAAACAGCAGTCAGTTGCTCCCTGTTCATTCCCTCCAGGCCATTTGTGATACTCCAGACCTCTGTCCTCTGATGGAGGAATGGCACTATCTTTTTCAGACAGACTGAATAGATCTCGCAAATGTTTATTCTCCTTAAACAAAAACTGTTGCGTATTAAGTCTGATGACACCATTTTCTGCTCCCCATTCTCTGTACCTCTTTTGACTTTACTACATCCCTGAAACTGGAGGACTAGAATCTTACCTGTCTGTTCTCTATTGTTTCTCTAATAATTCTTTGCCAGAAGAGACTAAAAATTTGGAGGAACCAGAGAGGAACCCATGATCTCAGGACAGGTCATGGCAAGGGCTCTGATGCCTCCAAGCCGAACAAACGGAACAGCTGGAGTTAAACAACAGTGATCATAAATACATGCTCTTTGAGCACAACAGGAAGGTGACCCAGAGCTTAGGACAGATACACCGTACCTGCTTTCACAGGCAGGATTATATCTATCTGATCGCAGACTGAAAAAAATGTCATTATAAAAATTACATCTATAATCCCAAAAGAAGATGCTCTTCAAAAGCTAACCAAAACCCAGTAATATCCCAGTCCAAACATGTTCAATGTAAACACAAGGTAGGACTGTGACTATTCAGCAGCATACGAAGGAGCTGAGCAGCACAAAGGTTGGGAAGTTCACTGCAGATAGGCTGCAATTAACCTCCTCTGCAGGGAAGTCTTATACTCAGTCCTAACCTGCCTGTAACACACATTTTCCAGTAGTGTGAGAAATATCCCCGCCTAAAGTATAACCAGATCCCAGGCTACATGATGGAAGAGAGCTGATCGAGTACCATACCAGTGTCTCCACACCTGAACAACGCAGCCTCGCACCTGAATCCCACAAACAGCCTGGCTCACAGTAATTCACAGGAAGACAAGCAGGGAAGGCAGAGAGGACACAAAAATATTAGAGGCATCAGGAGAGCAAGAATCTGCTGTTCCTACACAAGAGTATCTGTTTAGGTATGGATGCATAAACTGTAAAATTTAACAAAACTGAACTAAATTATTTTGGCCTGGATCAAAACCAAGTTTTTTGGTTTGCATTTGGTGTTTTGTTTGTTGGGTTTTTTTCCCTCCATATTTCATCACAAATATTATTATATCATGTCAGTAGCTCAGTAAGAAACTTTAAAACAAAAAATAATTACCTAGTTCTCAATTTTTTTAATAAAAAGGTGACTTACTCTACATTCACTGATGAGCAGCTGTTCAAACAAGCTACAGCCAAATAATTTCTTTCTCTGGCACAAGTAATATTTAACTAACTTTTTAAAAACGGTACAATTTCCACAAGGGATATGTGGTAAAACTTCCTTCAGAACATCCTATAGCCCAGTAACTTCTACTTAAGGTCTTTTCCTTCCTGAGAGGCAGGTTCAAATTCCAGTTCTTGCTTGCAGCGTCCTATGCTTCAGATTACCCAGCAAAACAGGAACATCATCGTTTCAGTTCCTGCTGAACGGTACTGTAGGGCCTGAGCACAAGATCTGGGCCAATACCCCAGACTCCTGCCTTGGGAAAGCAAAGCCCAGACGTCTGGGTCGAGCCGGCAGCTCTCTGCTGAGCACATCTCCAGTTCTCTGCTTCCACGGAGAAATCACACCGACATGGTGTGCGGCACCACTAAGGATTCATCACCAGCGTTCCCTGCGCAGGGAGCTGTGGCTAAACAGAACTGTGGGAGAAGTTGCAAGTGCAGGCTGAAGTCTCCGATAATACGTCTAAAGCACCCTTACCGCTTTTAAAAAAGTTGGTAACTTTTGTGACGTACAGCTTAAACCAGAGTTTTTAAATTCACCTTGTGCTTTCCTTAGCAGTAAGCCTGGCTCACAGGACTGCCGGTTTCGGCGAGGGGTTTCTCCTCCGCGGGCTGGAGGCCCCGCTACCAGGCAGACGAGCTCACCCGCACCGCGCCCACCGGCCGCCGCCCAAGCGGGGGGCTCCTTCCCCTCCTTCCCCTTCCCCGCACCGAGCCAGCCGAGCCCCACGGCCGCCGGCCCCCACAGGGAGCGCGAAACCCGCCCGCGACTCCCGCAGCCACGGCGGAGCCAGCTGCCCGGCCCCGGGGCCTCGGCGCGAAGCCCGGGGAAGCCGGCCGGGGGCTCGGACCGCACTCCCCGCCCGCGGGCGCGGGGGAAGGCCAGCGGCCCGGCCGGGAGGAGGCCGCGCCCGGCAGCGGGGCCGGGTAGGCCGGGGCAGCGCCCGCCCGCTCCCCTCACGGCGGCCCCGGCGGAAAGCGGCGGCGGCGGCCGCCGAGGGCGGGCCGGGCTCTGCCGGCCCCCGGCCCCACCGGGCCGCAGCGCACCCGGGCCTCCCCCGCGGCCTCACCTTGGGCAGCTCCCGGAGCTGGTTGGCGTCCAGCAGCAGCTCCTCCAGCGAGCGACTGTAGCGGTAGATCTCCTCGGGCACGGCCTGCAGCGAGCAGTGCCGCCGGTCCAGCGCCTCCACGTGCCGGTTGCAGCGCCAGAGCGGCGGCATGCACCGCAGCATCGCGCCGGGGCTCGGCCGCGATCGGCTCCGGGCGCGCAGGGGCGGGAGCCGCCGCGCCGGGAAGGGGCCCGCCCGAGGGAGGGCCCGGATGTGAGGGGTGGCGGGCGGGCGCTCGACCGGCCCCGGTTCCGCCGCCCGGCTCGGCTCCGCGCCGCCCCTCGGGCCTGCCCGCCGCTCCCGGCCGGCTGCCGGGGCCGCCCCCCCCCGAGCGTCCCTGGGAAACGGAGTCCGCTCCCGCCCGGCCGCCGAGGCCGGAGCGGGGCCCCGGGGTGGAGCGGGGCCCCGGGGCCGGAGCGGGGCCCCGGGGTGGAGCGGGGCCCGGGGCCCGAGCGGGGCCCCGGGGTGGAGCGGGGCCCGGGGCCCGAGCGGGGCCCCGGGGTGGAGCGGGGCCCGGGGCCGGAGCGGGGCCCGGGGCCGGAGCGGGGCCCCGAGCGGCCCAGCGGCAGCTCGGAGCGGCGTGGGGGCCGCTCGCACTCCCCAGCTCGGCCTCTGGCCGCGGGAAGGGGCACCCCGAGGGAAAATCAGCCCCGACTGCAGACAGCGAGAGCTGCGGTGGCTTCCCGAGTAACTTACACGCGCGTCGCCGGCAGTCGCTGGCTAACGCGTTCGTAATGCGGGACAGCATTAGGAAAATACGTTGTGAAAAAAGCCAGGACCACTGCACAAAGTTCTCTGAGGCAGCAACATTTCTCTTAAAAGACTGTAGTTTATGGAGGCAATCAGAAGTGTGAGACGAGCTGTGGAAAGAGCTCAAACAGTGCCTGCACACCGAAGAGCACGAGTCAAGGGGGAAACACAGAGGCTTGTGAAACAAGTGGTGCGAAAGGAGGAATGAAGAACAGTAGTCGCCATCTCCCCCCACAACACAGCAAGGCACCAACATGACTCGGTTTAAACTCAACGCGTGCAGTCAGTGCTGGGACACAGGGCCTAGGATGTTGCTTTGCAACAAAAGCATAAAATCCAAAGCAAGTTGTTACCACAATGTTGCCCAGGGACAATGCAGTCCTCCTCGTCCTCACCCTTTACTGCCTTTACAGTTTCCTGGTCCCTCTATCACTCTTCATCTTTCTTGTCCAGTTATTTCTGCTCATTTAAGTTTATCACCTCTTAATTTCCCACCGCCAACTCGTCTGTGTCACCCAGTCATTACATTCATCTCTCCAAACAAGATACTTCGTCCCGGCTATTGCCTTTCACACAGGTCTCCACCTCCACAGCAGTTCTCAGAGTGGCCATTTATCTCAGTAAAACTTTGAGATAAACTGTTCATTCCTCATTGTTCAAACGTGGCATCTCTTCACACACGCACTCCTGTGACAGTGGGCAGAGTCCACCACCATGGGAACAGCCTTGGACACGAACCAACCCAAAGCAGTACACAGGCTCCTTCTCCATACTCGGCTTTCCTCATACTGCAGAGAGCCAGAAATCTTTCTGCGACAAACAGAAATGAAAAGTGACTAATAACTGAGTGACATTAAAGAGGGAGGCACTGGCACTTGTGAAAAGCAGAAGGAGGTGAGAGTTATCCAAGCAAACTGCGGGGTCTTTCAGCTTCACCGTTAGTAATGGGCAATGGCTGTGACATTCTGAAGGAAGGAATTTTAAAACATTTGGCTTTATTAATCTTTCAATTGCAGTATATTCTATCAGAGAGAAATCGTGCCATATTAACATATGACTTCACACAAATTATTTTTTTTCTGGGCAAAAGTACTAGTGTAATGCATCAGTTGGTGTAGTACCCCATTAGAAATCACAAAGGTATCTAGGAAAAAAATGGGGATGACTACAGGAACTGTAAGACAAACGATGAATCAGCCATCAGGAACTGAAAAGATGATATTTACATTTGAAGACCAACTCTAAGCATTTGTACCAAAATGTTGGAATGTCCCAGCTATATTCCCCAGAAACTGGAGGGACAGCACAACAAAGCAAAAACTGTGGTATTTTGAAGCTGGCTTCATTAATAGGGCTGCCTAAATTTCAGCGCAAGTGCAAGGTTATGTCAGAGACAAAGAACAAGAATTTCAGTTATGCATAAGGCTCATGGGTTAGACATGGTGCAGGATAAACAGAAACAATTCACCCAGAGTAGAAAACAACCCAAAAAGTGTGCCTGTAAGGGTGCTTGCATCCCTATTCAAACTACCATCAGAATAGCTGAAAGCTCTTAAGGAAGGGAATTTTATAAATTTGATTCATCTAGCCTACTAAAATACTAACAATAGCAAGAAATCATATTCTGTAAAAGTACATGAGTAAGGACAAAACCAAAAAAAAAAAAAAAAAAAAATCAAACCTAAATGAAGATGTTAATACAAGAGCAGGTATGAAACTGGTTGCTAATGTTAGGTTTCCAGCTTCAGCAAATTGGGAAAAATCTATCTGTAAATCTCAGTATTTAAGATCGTGAACTCTGCACATCTTCCCAGTGCTACCTTCATTTTCATTCTGTTCTCAAGGACTCTGTAAGTGGGAAGAAGATGGTTTTACTAGAGTTCAAATCTTTAAGGTAGAATGAGAATTCTGTAACACCTTTGAGCAACAGAAGACATTTAACAGCAGCTACCCCAACAGGATAGTGTTTGTAAGCCCACAGTTACAGAAGCTCTGAAGGCACCTAACACTGCTCATCTTGAAAACCATCGAGAGATGGAGACGCCACTGAACCTGACAGATTCTCAAGAAATCAGGGATTTGACGTGCTTTTCTCTGGAAGCCTATCTTCCCTAATTGGTAAAGGAGGAAACTTTATTTTCTGTTTAAGCTTCTCTCGCCCTATCCAGCTGTCATGCGTGCAGCACTAAGCCAGCTCTGCCTCCCACGTACTAAACTGCTGTCAGTTTTATCATCCCACCACAGGAGCGATCTGATGCTGAATCAGTGCTAAGACACACACAGACTTGGAAACCAAGTTGTGGATAAAGTTTATCAGATTACTGGAAAAATCCCATCACAGCCTTATTCCCATCTCTGGGTGGTGCTGTCTTAATTTGTGGGACTAAGTTTCTGAAACAACCAGTTTTCTGTGACCAGACTTCATTATACTTGAATGCTCTGCTGCAGAACAGGCACTGTGTGCAAGAACACCATTCCTCTGCCCTGCAGTGCTTGAAAATTCAAGGCACTCAGTTTTCTGTTTTCACTGGAAAACTGCACCCTACTTGCCATGTAGTTTCATTGAACAACAGGTTCATCGGGAAGCTTGGACCTAGAGCATGTCCTGAAAAATAGCCAAGCAGCTTTCTGTTGCAGACTGCTGGCCTGGATCAGCTGGTTTTGCCAGTACTCTCTTCCTTCAGCCTCAGAACCCCTCTGGAATGTTGCTGGATCTATCACCCATGGAGGCACTAGAACAGCTTCGGCAGGAAGCTCACTGAAACAGGCCCAGAGGAAAAAACTATTTTCTAGAAGCCCCAAGTGCTTCAGCTTCCTAGCCAGCTGGAGGAGGGTCAAAGACAGTGGGAGAAGCAGAGCTTTGTGCAAAGGGCTCAGACAACAGCCTCTTTTGACTACTACAGTGGAACTTGCATGGGTTCTGGAATGAGGAATTAACCAAATTCAGTGCTGCATGATGCCCTAAAAAGAAGATTCAGCTTGTGGTGTGTGAATTGTCACAGCCTCCAGTTTAGGAGAACCCTTACCTGTAAGTTGTTGGCATCTGAAGCATATTCATCTCATGCTTGCCCTGTTCTACACTTTTGTGTAAGAATCTGCAACAGGCCACTGCCTTGGGCAGGATGGGCCCTTTTTCTGAAACAGCAGAGCTGTCACTTTGTGCAAGCCCACTTAGTTTATTCTGTAGAAAGCAAGGCCTGGGCATTGGAAGAACAGATTAAAACCTAAGGTGATAGTCCCATTTATGGAAAACTAACCAGTTGCTGAGGCAGTTTTATGAACAGTGGGGAAAAGACTGCCAAGGTCAAAGAAGCTGGGTCAAATAGAATAGGAAGACCCACAGCTTCAAGGCTCAAGCTCTTCTGCACCAGTCCCTGGGAATTACAGGTTACATGTAAGAGGAAATAAGGCTACCCCCAGTGCGAAATGCATGTGTGAGAGGTCTTTGCCAGCAGCAGCTGCACCAGGTCTTTGCAGGAAAGAAGTATCATCACCAAGAGGTCTAATGTCAATGGGAACAGCTGAAGCTCTGCTTCAGGGTCTGTGTGAGAGATCCAGGCATGGATTGTTGGGAAGGATGGACAGCCTGCTTTGGTGGTAACTCCACAGACTTGCCAGTGAAAAGTCTGGTAATTAGCTCATAGAAAAAAACAAGAACAAAAAAAACAACAACCAACCAAACAAACAACAAAAAAAAAAAACACAAACAAACCAACCAACCAAACAAAAACAACCAAACCAACAAACAAAAAAAACACACCCCCCAAAAAAACCCTTGGCTGTAAATTTGGGTTATTTCAATTACCCTTGTGTTTAGCTCAAGATAAAGGCCTGTTGTCTTAGAAGCACAAATACTAACTAACTAGCCTTCTAAAGTACTATTAAGTGCTCCTTTCCTGATAGGCATGCTTTTTTAAAAGGACGGGGCACTCATGCCTGTGTTAGCAAGATATAGTCTTATCGTTCAGGCTGTCTCTGAGAGCCCAATAGCCATAAAAATGAAGATCTACACAAGAGACAGCACATACAGGAAAAAGTGGACAAATCAGGATTTTACCTTATTCATGATGGAAGCTGAACCATTTACCTGGAATGAAGATGATGTGGACAAATAGTCTGTTCAAGTACCACTGAGATACTGAGAAACCTTCTTGTATACTTACTTTGTTTCAGACTGCTACTTCACAATTTGGTCTCTTCCTGCTCATCTGCTATGCAGGTACATATCAATAGTCTGCAGGATTTACAGAATTTAAACTTGTACACAAGTCAACAGCAGGAACTAGACAAATAACAGCATTTCATGGGTTAAGGCCCTGAAATGTGAGGTCCTGGGCCAAAGAAAACACCAGGCACATGCAGCTCTATAATTAGGTGTGTATATGCAGGATTTAAGCTGGTGGTTAGTTATCCCTTTTGCCCAAGCATCTGAATTTAAGGCAAGGGACTCAGGGAAAAAGTGCTTCAAAGCTGGGGTAGGTAGGGTGGGGAGAAACAGGAGCAACAGAT